AGCAGTAGCATCAAAACTCTGTTGTTTCTTAGAAATTACTTCTTTCTGCCTTTCATCTTGTAGGATTAGGGCAAAAACTTCATTGAGTGGAGGAAGTGGATCCATCAGCAAGATCCGGCTCCTAGCATTTGAAAATTGGTCATCTAATCCCATCAAAAACTGCATGACTTGATCCTCAGACTTGTAATCAACCTTGTCAAACACTAGGTCTATAATTCTCAAGTTCCTCCCATAGTCCTTTTAGTCTATTAAAATAAGCATTCACAGAATTGTTCGTCTGTGAAATAGAAGCGATTTGCTTCTTAATTTCATAAATTCTAGGTTCGTTACCTTGGCTGTACCGATCTTTCAGTTCGACCCAGATCTGTCTTGCTGACTCTTTGTGCATCACGCTTGGGTATAATTCTTTTGGAATTGAATTAATAATCCATGAGGAAACCACATGGTTACATCTCCTCCAAGCACGGTAAAGCACATCCTCCTGGTGCGGTTCTTCAATTGATCCATCAATAAACCCTTCCTTGTTCTTCACACTGAGGGCCATGATGACAGCACGACTCCATGTCGCGTAATTATCCTCAGCAAGTATGACTGAAATGAGCTTCATTCCAGTGTTATCGCCATAATGTAGATAGTATTGGCTATTTGGATCACTAATTAATCTATTCATTGCCGAAATTGCATCTTCAGCTGCTCCAGGAATTCGATTGACTGGAGAATCAGCTTCAACCTCTGCTTGAACATCAGAATCCTTCGCCATTAACGTGTGGAAGCTTCAACTCTCTGATACCATGTTAAAATGTAGAAAGAGAAAGATGAAGATGAGAGGAAAATGGGGGGAAATTCTATTTCTATTTTCAATTAATTAGCTGGAGTGTACCAGCAGGCCATATATATACACATTGATATCACTAACAGAATAAAGATGAAATGTACAAAGACTAAAATGACCCTATGAGATGAAAAGCAACTCAACCATTATTTATTGCATATACAAGATTTAAGGCAATAAATAATGGTACAAAAGAAATGGAGTAATATGTGGAAATGAAAATCTCATGGCGGTGCTGGAAATGGAAATGATAGGTAGCGGTGCTGTGGCCGATTCAGGGGGTACTTTTCAGTTTGCCCAAGTCAAACGTGCCACTTTCCATTTTGCCCAAAAAATTTTACAATTCACCACAATAGCCTTCCAAGGCTGAAAAGTCGAAATTACCCTTAAAATGTTATATAAATTACAAAAAATGGTATTATTTAAAAGACAATAATACCCTTTTTTAAGTTATAAAAAATTTCAACACTTTCCACTTAAAATTTCGAAACCACTTTCTTTATCCGTTTACTCCAACACAGATAAAAATTGTTTCATTTTTCCTCTACTTCAAACTTGAAAACAGATAAATTTATCAAACGCTTAATAAAGAAATATTATTCACAGCTATCAGTGAAATCGGCAATTATATTTACGTATTTTAATTTTCGTTCGGTAAAATTAATGCAGTATTTTAATCTTTAAATCTTATTTCGACATAGGTATATGAAAATTTTACGATCTTAAATGAATCTATAATCATTTTTAATAAAAACAAGAAAAAATTTCATCTGCATAAATAATTTCAAACAAATTTACGATCGGTTGTAAAATGGTCAACCAGACATCCAGATAGATCCAGACGGCCCGAACTGCCCGGACGTCCGGGCCGTCCGGTTTCAACGCACCTTGTAGTATTTTTGGATCATAACTTTCTCTCCTAATATTCGATTGAAGTGATTCAAGATGCGTTGAAAAACTAACTCAGAGGTCTACAACTTTGCTTCAGATACTATCTTCAAATTCGATCGTTTTCCATATCAAAAACTGGTCTCAATATGAGGCTGAAAATCGGTACAAAACTTTTCAACATTTTTGGGCAATAACTTTCTCTCCTAATGTCCGATTGAGATGATTCAAAATGCGTTAGAAAGCTAACTCAAAGGGTTACAACTTTACTGCAGATACCATCTTCGAATTCGATCTTCTTCCTTGTCAAAAATTGGTCTCAATATGAGGCTGAAAATCGGTGCAAAACTTTTCAGCTTGAAAGTTAATATGTGATAATGTTTTGACTATATTTCATCCATTTGACTCATTTTTCATCCAATGGACCTCTAACACTCTCGACTCTTCATCGCAAGGTTATAAAGAAGTTTAGAATATTTGCACTTTAATCCGTAAACTATCATTTTCCTCAATTTTGGACATCTTCGCTCTTTTCTTCTAATTTATATTGTATTCGTTCATTTGCAGCATAAACCAAAATGCAAGAGTACTTCGAATATTTAGGAACCTATAAATCATAAAAAATACAATTATTAGTGGATGAAAAACGTGATAATTGCACTATTATCACCGCCTATTCTAACAAATTTCCGCCAATTCACCATTTTTCACTTCATTTCTTTTTTGTTTCACTTCCTCTTCGAGTCCAATTTTTATGATCACGCACGGCTTCATCTAAGGCTCCAAAATACGTCATTTTCTCCAATATATTTAAACTACAAAACGACATGAACACACATCAAAACGCTCAAAAGTGCTCAAAAACAAGCTAAAAACTACGATTTAAAGGTATTTGTTTAATGAGTTAATTGCACTTATCACCATATTATTAATTATAATTTGTATGTTGCATAATTATTGTCGTTAAATATTCAATTATAATTAAATTGCTTATTTTAATTGTTTATATAATATTTAATTATAATTAATAGAATATT